CGGCTGCACGACGACCGGATCTGGTGGTGGCAGTGCATCCGACTGTTCCACCACAATCTTCTGCTCGACCTGAATGGAAGTGCATTCACCTCGCCAAAGCCAGAAATCTGATGTTAACCGCACACACCTCTTCGGCCAATTCCTCCATTTCGCTGTCGGTGTAGTCCTCCTCGTCTTCGGAATCAGCTTCATCCTCCTCCTTCAGTGTCTCCGTTACTATCGGTGCTTTCGGTGGTGCTGGCGGCACAACTTCGTCCTCGCTGTCCTCAAACGAGGTTGTCTGCAAAAAATACTTCCTATGCGGGCTAATACTCAGATCGAGAGAAATAAGTTGGTTGGGAAGTTTGATACCCAAATTTTTGTGAAAATCCTTGTTTAGTAGAGCAGCTTTCCTGAAGTTCAGAGGTACGCACCATTTCCGTCAACCGCTAAAAGTCAGCGCTCGAGCACCTCCTCTGTTTTCTCTCATGAGAAGGACGGAGCTGGGTCGTCCATAAGTCAAAGACTGCCCCTCAAAGGAGGATTCCACAATAATTTGGGTAAGATTGGAGAACCTACATAGTGGAAAGACGGATCACCAGGGGCTGGACCGACACATAGTTCGCGGCGGAGTAAATGCCCCGGCGATCTAGCATGGCCGTTTGCAAGCCACGCCCACACTCTCGCCGTCTGAGCCTTCAAAAGTTTGGCAGAGAGAACGTTAGCGTTGTTGGGACAGCTCCGATGAGACATGCAACGCGCAACTCAACGGACAGCAGAGTTTCTATTCCTCAGGCTCTAGGTCGTTTTTCTTGGTTTTTCCTTTATCTCTGCATCAGAAACTTCGCCCTGGTGGCTTGGGTAGGTAAGACAGTCTTCAGGGCGGTAGCCCCAATCACCAAACTTGTGCCGGGATAAGCCCCCATTTTTCTCTACATGACAAGGCGTACCACGGTGAGCTGGAAAAGTGTGGCTGGTTGGTGCTCGCTCCAGCCTCCTTCATTAGGTTACATCCTACTGCGGCTTCATCCACTTTCAGCGCTTCCTGCGCGAAGAATGTGACATAAAAAGACGTTAGAGCGACACCAGTTCCCCTCTGAAAGTTTCAGCTCACGTCCTTCTGGGAGGAGAGAATTAACAACTGTCCCAAATATTGGCTTGCGCAGTCGCGAGGAAGATGCGTACCTCTCTAGGCTGTTACGTTACCAGCATTGTTTCAAAAAGCCTGAGCAGCGAGCTTCCACCCAACCTATTGCCTTTTTTTGCAACACTCACCTGTACTGTGACATCGGTAGCAGCACTTGCGACGGACAGCTGATGGCTCGCTTCCAGTTCTGATTCCTCATCCGGATCGAAGCCCACCTATAAATTACTCCGCTTAGAATTACAATGAATAGCCTAACTACCAATACCTTAACTGAAAACTAAATATCAATAAGTCATGGAATGATGATGGAATAGGGGGCTTTTCTCAGCCTATGAGGGTTTTATTTGTATTGATCTGTCATTTTTTGCCTCAATGAGGTAAGAAAAGATGGATTCACCTCGACGCTATGCCACGGCCGCTCTCCATATCGCTAGCCTCGGCGCCTCCTATTTCCTGCCCGAGAAGATTATTCTTGGGCGCTCTTGGGGGCGACTGCGGTTGTAGTGCGGGCTCTTTTGGCACGTCGAACGCCGCTCTTTGTTGATTTTTCTAGCAACTTCCTTAAAGAAATAGCGGGATTTGAGAAGGCATGCGGAAAGTGTTAGTAGAAATCAATAGCTCTTTGTTTTTGTAATTGTTTTTCGGCCATTGCACTTACCTGACTCCTTTGCTGGACGAGTTTGCTCGTCTCTCGTTGCACCTGTTCTGGCTGCTGTGCTGCTGAAATCGAACCGTTCAACGATTCTGCAGGTGGATCAGCTGATGACGAACCTATAATACTCTCCAACAACTCTTTCACCATCGGTCTGGCGTCGTACATCGGATGTGCTTTGATTCTAGCAACGAGATTCAGACTGACTGGTCCTTTCTCCATTTGCTCAAGCACCTGAAACTGAAGCCCGTTCTGAAGATATTCGAATGTGAAGAGCTACCACCCACCTGGTTCATCAGCATATTGAGTGAGTCGATCTCGAGTCGATACGCAGCAGCAGACATCGGTGTTCGAGGAGTAGGGGCTAGCCGCCTGAAACCAACAACTTGAACTGGTCAGCGCAAACACGGATGTGAGGTGAGAGCTAAGCTCACTTTGCCGGAGCGACTATCGTTTCTGGTTCGTTCGTTACTGGTACGAACGAAGGAGCGCGAGATGTTGCTTCTTGCCTAGCCTGCACGCGAACAGGTGGTCTGAAATGAAGACTATGAGCCCTCATGTGACCTCATGCCATGTATTCAGCTGAAAACTAACTCATTTCGAGCCGGTGCTGGTTTCGGATCTTCTGGTTGTTCAGGAGACGTTCGCCGTTTCTGTTCCACTGTTTGGGTAGCTCCGGTAGCTTTAGCCGCAGGAGGTGAGTCTTGCACTGGCGGCTTGAACGGAAGCGGAGCTTCCTTTTCAGGTGAGGCCTGAAAAATAAAGACATTTTGCTAAAGCTTCAGAAAGCAGGTTCGGCTACAGTTTGTTATTTGAACATTTGCTACTGAAAAACATCTGCAGTTGAGTTGGGGCTCACATAAGAATTCATAAATAATAAAAACCAAAGTAATGGGATTAAAGACCGTACCACATGATCAGATTTTAGACCAGTGAAGTCTTACTATTATTCAGGAGTGTTTTAAAGATAACCGACTTCACGTTCCCAGGCTACTCCACATCAGAAAAAGCCTTCGTTTTGTGATAAAACTTCTGGAAGTGATAAGAGCTTTGTTGAAAGTAAATTTCATGATTGAATAGGTATGTGTTAGTGTATCCGAAAATTGGAGTAGTTGTGGCAATTAGTCTTACCCTTCGCGTGATGACTGTGGTTTGTGCTCCTACGAAAATCTCACTGATTGGTCCCATCTCTACCGTAATTTACCATTTTCTCTCCTTCTTTCTTTATTTTTACTTTTTGTATCATGGATCGCTCAGCTTTACAACTCTGTTTGTCCATCGTGTGCACACCCTTTCAGGTGTATTAAATAAATA